TGCCGTATGAAGAAACGTTGTAAATCTATCGCGCACCCCAGTTTAGCAAAAGTTAGACAGCAGAACACAATCTCTCCTAGACAAATGATTTTAAATGGGAATAAATATTCAAAAATAATTTGGTTTAACATTACTTATTTTTACTACTGACTCTGCTCATATATTATGACTGAGGACTGTGCATTATGAATAAAAAATGAATTATTTTTTAAATGCGGGGTGTGCGATAGATTCACAATGGTGATAATGTATTTAGATAAATGGGGTGTGTGATAGACTTACCTCCACGTGGTGCACCTGGGCAACGCCAGTTGACTTCTGACTTCTAACTACCATGGCTCGACTACTTGTCATATTCGACCCCTTCCACAGTACTCGTCTTACCTTTTTCTCTACCTTTGTGTCTGTCTGCCTCTTTTACATCTGTGAAACGCTCTTCTGTCCCTCACCCCACGACTTTCTTCTACTTTGATTAAGCTTCCCTCTATGAAGCCCGAAGTCAGCTAAATGGCTAATGATAGCTATCAAAACACCTGCCATTTGAAATAAATAAATAAATATTTTTCAAATGCACAAACTCATTAAAGAGAAATAGGTGCATGGTAATTAGCTCACCCATTTCGCTTTGAACCAGGTCTTTCCCTCAAAGAATTTGGAGGTGGCTGCAACCTCTTTGGACTAAAAGTAAGAAAATGGTAAGGGCAAAATTATCACTGAAGTTCCTACTTGTTTGATAAGAAGCGAGAATAAGCGGAAATCATTTGACTTGTACATCTTATTTGCTATCAAAAGAAGAACTTGGCAGGGGCTATTCTTGCCACAGCACAACAGGCGTTTCAAAACTCACAACTATCGTTATTAATAGGTATTTCTGTATAATGTACCTTGGCAGAAAGATGATTAATTCAAGGCTCATTGAATTTCAGCAAAACTTTAATTTCTTAGAGGTTGGGTTGCTACGACACTTCCATCTAAATCTCCTCCCAATACGTCCGGCTTCACCATCTTTTATTTATCTTACTTATTAGTTAAATATTTTCTGCTGTATTTTTAGTGAGGTATTGGATATTTACAGAAACTTAAGTTTTGATTGAAAAACAACAATAGAAATTCTTAAATCTCATTTAGTCTTCAAAAACAAATCTCCTAATAGACTTGAAGACAAAACCTATAATTGTAACTTGAAGCCCTGTAAAAATTTTCTAGTTGGCGGACGCTATAGAGAATGCGACTGAGTTTTGTCTACACAAAACTATTCGAAGAGCCACATATATTTATGATTTAAACTTGAACTCACCTTTGCTATGGCACTTATTCATGCTTCTTCTTGGAAGTAGTAAAATTCATGAATGTGGAATTCGTGAGTTGACAATAAATTGATGGAAACCATAATAATGTACAAAGGAAATTTGTTATAAAATAGCCATTAAAATTTTATTGCATTGTATATCCTAAATATCGTCACCATTAGAAAGCGAGCTCAAACTATTGAAGCAAATATTTAAATATCATTTTATTATGCCAATACTTAGTTAAATATTAGAAATCGAAATGACAGTGTATTCGGCAAATTATTCTTTGTTTAAATACTTATTATTAATAAATGGAGCATACGAACTGCGACTTAGTTGTTTATCTCGATTGAGTGATCTTTGTCCGATGGTGGCTTGTTGGAACCTTTTTCGAATTCTCAATTTCTTTACACATCGTTCAATTAAATTTTAATCTATTTATAATGAATAAATTTTGAAAATCTAAACCTTTTCATCAATCATGTGTATATTCGTAGTTATATGGGCCCTCTTTAATACCGAAGTTACTTTGTTTGGTTGATATCTAAAACGATTTTCTGTTCATGAAGAAAAAACAAATTCAAAACATTATAAACTCTGGAAATTTTAACCAATACAAAATTGAAGTCAAAAGTGAGATCCATTGATTTAGCTGAATCGGTAGGAACTAAAGATGAAATCGATTGTACTATTTCAGAACTCTCTCTCTCATTAATCGGACTTTCATTCCAAAATAGTGGACTGTAGGGTAGCGTGAACCGGCGTAACTTCCTCAAATTTAATAAAGTAATAGAACTAGCTAGTAAATATGTACTTTTTGCTCGATTAATTAATATCTTCAAAAAAATCTTTTTATTCTTTACCTATCTTTTGATTGGGATTTTGGCGTTGGCCTTAGAGGCTGATATGTCGGTTGCAATCGGGCACCGGAAACAAGAGTCGCCTGATCATCTAACCACTTTTGCATGCTTTCACATCTATTTCCACTGGCTTCAGCCCCACCTGAATAGAAAAAACGTCATTGAATCAGTTGTCTCTATATCAAAGCTAAAAATTAGCAGCATACATAAGATACCATTTTTCGCCTTTCCATCTATTGGAAAGCAGTCGGAATAAATTGAAGATAGGGCAAAAAAATTATTTATTTTTATTTGGGAAGTCAGTAAACGAAGGTGGGGTTAAATAAAAAATGTTCAGACAACAGTGAAATTCAAAGAGTAGGATTATTTATATTTTTTATGATAATAATAACCCACAAACCTGATTTCGAAGATAATGTGATAGGCGTGTCAACTTTTCAAGTTTGCCCAAAAATTTGCTTGAAAGGCTCTCCAAAGTCTTGCCACGAGGTAGACTTCTGTTGCCTATTGGTTAAAATTTCAATTTGACTTAGTTTATTGGTTCATAAAAGGTCATGAAATACAATGGGAAAGTGTTGCCATGACAGTCTGTATTGAAAAGTTAATCCATAATCACGGTGAATGCATTGCTAAGAAATAACTTTCTTTAGTGAAAAAGGCAAATAACCATATTGAAATATTATAAAAATGAATATAACTTTTATGGTGGTCACTCACAACTAGACTAAAAGGAATTTGGAGCTATTAGTAATTAGCATCAATAGCTACCAATATTGTTCTCTTGAAAAAAAACAGTTGAAATGATCTTCAAGCAGTCTTAGGTCTGAGATTATCTTTGATTACGATAGTTTCGAGAAATTTCAGGCATATTCCGCATCAAGACTGATTTAGGTATTTGAAATGTCCTTTCAGATGGTAAATTCTCAAATTTGACCAGATCGTAAAAAATTAAAGAGCGAGTAAAGGTTGAGGATGCAGGTGATGATAGTTTGAAGTGAGAAATTAACTGCCAGTTAATTGACTTTTTTGCCGTATGAATATACGTTGCCCAGGGTGCACCATGTGGAGGTAAGTCTATTGCGCAACCCACATAAGATATAAAACCTCAAATCTGTGTCTATTAGGCCCTTGTTCATATTCAAAGGATTTAATAAGCTTTACATTATCATCAAAACTGATTCAACGAAGGTAATCTAAAGCTTTTGAATGTACAGCATTCTTCCACCGGGAACGAAGCTGATTTCAAGAACAATTTCTTTAGAATCTTCGTTTTTCATATAGACAGAGGATTGAATTTTCAACAGTGCTCGTCCTACCCATACTTTACTAAAACCATCAAAATTTCGCAATTATTTCATTATTGCAATAAGTCCCTGTGGGTGCCGCTTTGGTGTCGATTAGTCATTCAATACAGCGATCTCGAAAAAAAAACCACAGATTCACATATAGGTGGAAAAGATTTGAACATTAGTAGCAATCGGATCATAAAAACTCTGTCTGACCAACTTAAGCAAAGTTGTGCTGAAGTCAGAAGCTAGAAGTGGAAATGCATGCAGTTCCTTCTTCTTACCAATGGGGAATAGCTAGGCACTTACCAATGCCACAGCCAATATCTGTTCCAAGGCTCTCGGGGAGATGCCTTCTGAGGAATGCTATAGCTCCAGTCATTGAAAGACAATACGAGTAACATATATATATTAAAAATTATTGTAAATTTTGTCTTCAAAAAGAATTGGCATCACAACTAAATAGCCTAATCATTCCACACATTTGTTCCATTTGTTAAATAATAAATTTGTCATGATTTAGGGCTCATATGAAGTAATCTCCTTTTATATGAGGAAGATGGGGGTGTGCAATAGACTCACCTCCACGTGGTGCACCACTGACAACGTATACTCATACGGCAAAAAAGTCCATAACTCGGAAGTTGACTTCAAATCATTATGATCAGTCTGAGACGAAACTATAAGAGAAATCGGCCATGTTAGGGCGAATCACATCTTCTACAGATCCTTCAGTGCAATGCTGGAGGGATGTCACAAGACAAGAAGATCCAAATCCAGAAAATCCTACGTACCTACGATATAGACATATTCGCAATCGCGGATACCAACCTTATGGATGATAAACTCAAATACTACCAATTCCCAGGTCACACCTGGAATTTTGACTGGAGTTAAAGAAGGCCTCACATCACATTACGACCTAATCAAGAGTATGGGCTTGACGCAAGACATACACGAAATGATCAGATCAAATGTTTGGAAGCGCGATAGACTTATCTCCACGTGGTGCACCCTGGACAACGTATCGTGATACCTATGGGTAAACCTAAACTCTCGGTAACAGAACTAAACAATAGAGTTGTCTTTACAACTAAACTAGCAGTAAACATATGATGGGCTCAAACTCTACATCCCAAACCCACAATAGAAAACGTAGCAAATAATAAGTCATAAAACCTTAAATCATCCGGTTTTAATCTTAACTTTGAGCAAATATCACCTATAATCTCCAAACAAGACCACATTAAAGCATAAACCTCTGGATAGCCAAAAAATATAAATATATGTTGGAATAAATTCGGATCACCTCCACCTAGTGGATCAAAAAAAGGAGAACTCAAATTACGATGAAATAATAGCATGGGTATAGCTGCTGCTAACACAGAAAGACTAGATAATTAATGAAGAGGAGTACCATCATAACTCGACTATATAATCTAAAGCAAAAACAATAGGATACAATGTGCTTACAACGTTTATAGAACTAAAAATTTTAGACACAGCAGCCAAACGCAAAAAATGCAAGAAACATTCATCCAACTCCTTCATCTAACCACAGTCTAATAATCAAAAATACTGTAGAAGGAATCAATAATAAAGCACTTAAAGTTCTTAAATGAGGTAAATTAGGATCCGATAATCCGTCCAATATAGGTAACAAATAATCACCAAATACATCTTTTAAAATAGGCATCCTTGATTTGTCCTCAGCAATCTCTATAGCAAAATGCTCCCAGTATTGAATGGTTCCTGAAATTAGCTAAGCTCCCTTAAGATTTGGAGGGAATAAGGGTAGGATGAGGAAAATGTTTATTGGATTTGCACTAATTCAATAGTATGTCTCTTTTCGATGTGGGTGGTTGGCGCAGAGCTTAGGTATTGAATGCAGTTTAGGGTAGGCTAGCACTGTAATAAATATTGATTATTGAATGGCCTAGCGGTCTCAGCTATCGCTACCTCATTTTCTCCCAAGTGCAATTAAGAGCACTGCTGCACGTTCCTGAATGTTCGAGTGCACATGAAATTGCTTACTTTAATCGTGTTAGAACTGGGTACTCCGCAACACTAAATTAATACTTCCTCTGTCGTCCTAACCAACTACCTAGTCTATAAATATTAAAATTGGACTGGATGGAGGCGGGGATGCTAATGCAGTAAATAGATTGCTGACTTTTGAGTAAAGAGCACGCACTGCGATAAATACGATATCGTGGAAATAACGCTTATTACTGTTCACCCATCGACGTGGGCGACCAATCGTACTGGTTAATTCGGGTTAGGAAGAGGATTGGTATAGTGCGAGTTCCTCAATGGAACGCCTCCATGATTAGCTAGAACCCAGCAAATCCACGCATCCTATATAGAATTGCGACCATTTAGCTATGAGGAGTACAATGAAAATTTTCTTTCGTTAAAGACCTACAACATCACTTTCAAAACGTTCGTAAATGTGCCGGCGAAAGTAATTTTTTTCCAATTATCTAAGTACTTAGGGTCTAATTAAATGGTCAATATTTTATTCAGCCTAGAGTCTGATTCTACATTCTGATTCAAAACAAACAATATTTTTAAGGAATATCAGACGAGAAATGGTAGAGCAATTGCAAGTAGGAAGGTAGTTAAAAATGCAGAATACTTGCTCAGTATTAAGCATTTTCGGGGTTCTGTCGTGGAGCCGTTTACTAACATGAAAACTCAAACCTGAGTCGGTTGGAGCATTATTGTAAGCAAAATAATAAAATCATTAGACCTCTATTTATTATTATTATTATTATGACTACGTGATGCAGTTGAGTTAAGTTTGTATTTTAAACCGAGGAGAGTCCTTAGTATGCTGTAGCGGATTGCTACTTTATTAAAACCAGACTGACTCAGAAATCTCTATGGCAGATCCTCCTGACTCAGAAATCTCTTTGGCAGATTCTCCTACATCTAGACTGACTCAGAAATCTCTATGGCAGATCCTCCTACATCTAGCTACACTCCCAGAATCAGCTAAACTATAGCCCAGCTATAAAGGAAACAGACGTGTAGCACGAAGCACGTTTATTCAGGACGTATATTGCGGATCAAGTGACGAAGCACGTTTATTCAGGACGTATATTGCGGATCAAGTGTGTACACGCAGGGAGCTACACATGATCAGGTTGGGGGATTAGGTTCAACAGAGGTTGATGATGGTCACTGTTTGTACGGTCGCTGCACATAGAGTAGTACGGCCGCACCTCCCAATCCTGGCGAGCAGACATGCGGGCATGTGATGACGCACAACGCGATAACGTGTCCCACAGGAGGTGATGACGCACAACGCGATAACGTGTCCCACAATGCCGAATACTCGTTGTTTATTGAGCGTTTCCTAGAGATAAATTTCCCCATACGATATGATGATTTAAAGTATTCTTTTACAGTATATTTTTTTAAAATTCGGAGAATTGAATTTTTCAAGTGAACACTAGGTGAAATTGGTCCACTCGAAAGTTCTCACTAAAATCCCATATAAAGAGGACGCTTCAAATTTTTCTGAAACGAGAAGAACAGGTGTACACTTTAAGTGGCCAAGTTTAAAAAACGGCTAGTGACCCACGGGGAAGTGGACATGAAGTCGTTAGTTGGTATGGGACTAGCAAGACTAGCTTGTCTGTACTTCAAGAATTAAATTAAAATCTTTATGATATTCCAAAGATTTATACTTCATCATATGGAGGGGATAATTTACGGACATATTCAGAGTTGAGAACATTATGAAAAAACTCCCACAATCCTTTGCCGTTGTTTCAATGCTAGTTACAGGACGCAACCTGGAAACTCTCTCCCCCCCCCCCCCCCCCCCCCCCCCCACCCCACTCCCACGAGCTTTGCGTACGACTTCGAGTTGAGACTACCTTGACCTCCACTTACTTATAATAGCTTTAGGCAAGTATAAACCATTACTTAACTTGTATTATGCATCCTGAGTTTAGCTATTTTATGGGTGAGCAGTGGGACATACAAAGCTTGACATGGTGCTGAAGTATGAAACGAGGGTAGAGGTAAAAGATGTTTTCATTTTGAAGCATTAGGCTACCCAATTTTCATTATGGTTTCGGTTCACTATTAATTATCCAAGTGCGCCAAAGATAAAATAGTCTGAATGACACTCTCAGTCTAGATCACTAAGCTACCTCCTTCCAACTCACAGCTTTGGCTTATTGGCATTTTGTAAACAATGGGTACTCGGGGATAATAACTAATAAAAATAGCATTAATGCTTGAAAATAGTCAGATCTAAAACAAATTTCCAAAAGAAATACGGAATATATATATATATATATATATATTCACACTCCATGGCAGGCGAAGTGCACAATATCATGACGAGCATTAGTGGTAATTTTAGTCATTTTGAAAAAGAGTAATAAGTGAATTCATTTCTCAACATACAGTTGAAACAAGCATTCAAACCTAAATTGTAACATATTTGATGCTAAAATACCTCATAGGGAATTCGGGACAAATTTTAAAGAATAAGACTCGGTCGATTTTCATATGCTTCGAAGGTGTCAACGCACACTATGCTTCCTCTAGAAGTTTAAAACTTTCCCCACTGATATACGTGGAATCGGGGAGAATGGAAGATTGGAACCGAGGTGAATCATGGAAAAGAATAACCTGCATCGTGTTGATTCTCGGCTGCCATCGAAATAAGGAGATTGTGGGCACTGCTCAATACTGCCTCAACAGTCTGCAAACAATTCAACATGAAATGGTCTGGCCGACACAATGGATTTCCACGAGAAGGTGCTGCAGAAAAAGCGTTGTAGCACCCTGACATCACCATTCTGGCTTTGTTGCCACAATAAATCGAATATTTCAGCCTCCATCTCGTAGCACATACACAAAGAAGACCTCCGCTGCAGCAGGCTCATGCAGATGCCACAGAGGTCTACTTCTCGTAGAAAGAGTTCCCGAGAAACTGGGCAAATTGGAACACTCCATCGAAGTCAAACAGCATTTTGCATTTCTAACAATTTAGAATGGTAATTGGTGATGAGGGAGATGAGAATGATGTGACGGCTTAGCATTAATCTTCATCATTTCAAGCAGCCAATCCTTGCTTACATTCTCTCTAATCCGTAGACTATCCGTAACTTTTCGATTATGCAAATCTTCAAGACAGGTGGAATCGAGAAAGTGTATAATTTGACCGCAACTGTATTTAAAAATATTAGGAAGTGCTTTGAGGGTGAATTTGAAGCAGTTCGATGGATATATAGGTAGGGAGGTAGGATGGATTGGAGTGTGAATTAGTCGGCCTTCTGGTTATGCGCTTGATTTAATGG